TTGAAAAAAAAAAAAAAAAAAAAAAAAACATGATTGATGAAAACGTTTATTTATTTTAATTTCATTGAGAAATTTTCTTTTTTTTTGTTTTTCATCTCTATTCGAATTTTTTTTTTTTTTTTTTTCTATATTTTGAACGGGGGGAAAATGAAGTTATATATTTTCATTTAAAAAAAAAAAATGTTGGAAAAACTTTAAATTAAAAAAAAAGAAAATTAGAGAGGGAGAGAAAAAATGAAAAAAAAAAAAAAAAGTTGAAAGTTTAAAGTTTAAAAAAAATAAAATTAAAAGAAGTTAAAATAGACAAATGTTACATTTTGCAAAAAAGAGAGAAAGAGAAAGAGATAGAAGAAAATAGAAAAGAAAATTCTCATGAAATTTATAAAAAAAAGGAAAAAAGATGAGATTAAAAACAAAAAAAAAAAAAAGGAAAATTTCAACGTTTTCATGAATGTTTTTTTTTTTTTTTTCTGTTTGTTTGCCAAGTGAAAAGTTTTTCTTTTTTGTTAAATAAAAGGAAAGACAACCGTTATAAATTAAAGGAGAAATCCGACAACAACAAAAAATTATATAGTAAAAATATAAAATATGGATATGAATGTGTGTGTGTGTGCGTGAACCACGGATATTCTTTTTCACGATTAATGTGAGAAAAAGAAAAAAAAAAAAGAATTTCTGTGTGAGAAAAATAAAAATTTTCTTTATTTACGCACACGCCCTCCACCCCCCTCCCCCCGCGAAAAAAGCAAACCCACGCTTTAAATAATTACAACCATTGATGACGATCGTATTGTTATTGTTTTGTTTATTTACTCTATGACATATTTATTTTTATAATCTTAACAATAAGTAATTAACTCTTTTTTTTCTCTCTCTCTCGGGGGGAGTAGAGGGAGCGGGGAGGTGGGTTTCGTAAGGGAGGGGAAAATTAAACTCATTAATTAATAATTTTCCAAAAAAAAAATTTTAAATTAAAAAAAAAAAAAAAAACGTTAAAATGCACGGTGGCGACGGGCGACGGGCGGCGGTGACAAAAAGAAACGCGGAGCCGTGAGAGAGAGAGAAAAGGGAAGAGAGGGGGAAATTTGACAACGTTGCGTTTTTGTAGAAAAAGAAAACGAGTATCGTCGTCATGGCAACGGAATTTTTTTATGCCATAACGAGGTAGCAACGTGAAGGTAGTGGTTGCGGTTTTATTTGTAACAATGAGTTAAACGTTTCCTTTTGTTTAAAACATGTCTGAAATTTTTTTTCTTTTTTCTGTTTTGTTTAAATATTTTGTATTCGTGTGTGTGTGTCGATGAAAATTATTTACATAAGTTATGTACATAACTTAATAATAATAATAATAATAATAAT